ACCTCTTAAAAAATCACCCGTTAGTAAAGAAATACTCGCAGTTAATCGGGTTTCACTTTTCTCATTCCCAGATAATTCACTATTGCTCTGTTGCTGTGTTCAGGTCGAGGATATTAGACCTTTCTTAACAGAAGTCATGCAGGCCTTGAGACTCTAGGGACGTCGACAGTCCAATAAATAACCACTTTATGATAAGTTTTTCTTAGATGTGACAGCGTTAAAATAGTCTCTGATTAAAAGGCAGTGAATCTGGAATATAGAGGTGAGAGTCTTATTGCATTTTCTTCATCAAATCTCAGCTCGTAACATGTTATTGGCTCTAATCATAGGTCAACTGGCTGGCCAGTGAAAAAGGAATGGCAGTAATTGCAATAGCATCAACTGTTATTACTTCCCACGCGACTGACGAGGAAGTGTTGTAATCATGAATAATTTCAAAAATGAGACATACAATGATATGTACATATATCACAAAAAACAATGTCACTCATTTCCGTTAGTCTGTCTGTCTATTTGTCTCCAGGACCTCTAGTCTTGAGCTTGAGGGAGCAGAAATTGTGAGAGAGAGAGTGGCAAAAAGTGGGCGTGGCCAAGAAATACTGTATTCTTCCAAAATTGATAGAAATGAATTCACTTTGGGGAGTCGCGATTTCTCTTGGTACCGATCAAGAGAAACTGGAAAAATTAGTAGAAAATAGCCCTATATAAAATAAAAATTGACCTTTTTGGCATTGTTATTGAGGTTTCTGCTGAACATATTGCAAAAAATGGTTAACTTCAATCAACTGATGTATAGTATTGGAACAATATTATTAACGAGGATGTAGGGAGGATAATAATAATAATAATAATAATAATAATAATAATAATAATAATAATAATAATAATAATAATAATAATAATAATAATAATAATAATAATAATAATAATAATAATAATAATAATAATAATAATAATGGCGTAGGCCCGAAGGATAGACCATAAAAAAATGAAGGAAGCTATATCGCAGACCTTCACAAAAAGAATACGGCTACTTCTGAAAACAGAACTCAACAGTAAGAATCTAGTCAAGGCGATTAACACCTACGCATGCTCTGCCTTGAACTACTCGTTCGGTATAGTTCTGTGGAGTAAAACTGACATCGAGAAACTAGAGAGGCGGGTAAGGACTATGCTAACAAAAAAAGGAGCGCACCATCCTCGCAGTGCAATAGAGCGCACAACCTTACCCCGACAGTTAGGAGGGCGAGGTCTAATGGACATCAGCAAGCAGCTTGCTCAACAGGTACTCGCCTTGCGATCCTACTTCTTTGAGAAGGCCGAGATCTCTGAGCTGCATCGCATCATATGCTCAATAGATGACACAACGCCCTTACACCTTAGTAGACGAGATGACCAACCGAGTCACCAAACCAACGAACAGAAGCTACAACGATGGTTTGAAAAACCTCTACATGGGAGACATGCCAACGAGATTAGCCAAGAAAACGTTGACAAGAAAGCGTCAAACTATTGGCTTACCTCAGGCCAAATGTTCCCTGAGACTGAGGGATTCCTTGTAGCTATACAGGACCAGGTCATTCCTACCAACAATTACAAGAGGTTCATACTTAAGAACTTGCAACAGTCTGATAAATGCAGGTACGGCTGTCAGGACTCCGAAACAATACAGCACGTAACTGGTGGATGCCAAGCATTCGCTCCAACGGACTATAAGGAGCGCCACGACATAGCTGCCAAAATCATTCACCAGGAGTTGGCATACAAATTCAAACTGATCGAATGCAAGCTACAGTACTACAAATATACACCGCAATGTGTCCTCGAGAACGACAAGTATAAACTATACTGGGATCGCACTGTGCTTACGGACCAATACATAAAACAAAACAGACCTGACATAATCATTGTCGACAAGGACGCCCAGAAAGTAACACTGATTGATGTGGCCATACCTAATAGTAACAATTTAACATACAAACATAATGAGAAAGTTGCAAAATACAGGGAGCTAGAATTTCAAATTAAACGCCAGTGGAAAATGAAGTACGTGGAAACAATACCAATAATAATGTCATCTACAGGGGTGATACCAAGAAGGCTGCTAGAAAACATCAAAGCGCTGGAACTGAGTGAAAACATTTACAAAATCATACAGAAAGGAGTTTTGCTGGCAACTGCTCGCATAGTAAGAAAATTTATGGGAAATGCAAGTACCTAGGGAGGTCACTATTGAGGCTTACCCCTTTGATGCTTGAAGCGTCCGGGTTAAGCCAGAACACCCCGATTAACGGGAGCAACAAAGCCCTACGGCTATAAAAATAATAATAATAATAATAATAATAATAATAATAATAATGCCTTCATTAACTGCAGTGAGGCGAAGTTTAGCCAGACGGCTACTCTTACACTCAACCTCACAACAGGAAAAAATAATACTTAAACACAAAAGCAAAATAATAGCATACCAAAAAAAAAAAATACAATTCATAAGAATGACAACATTGATTGCACGAGACAAATGCAGATAGTATTGCGAGAGTTTTAAATTTGGAACAAAAATAGTAGAAAATAGTCAAACAAAAAAAATAAAAAAAAAAACACATGAGCACAAGAAAAACTGAACTAAATGGACTCCAGCAGCTGACTTTTCATTAATTTCTTAAAAGGAACAACCTGTTTGGATCGATAGCCACTGTTGACTGCATTGTAATGCTTGACAGCATTATAGGTGTAACTTCTTTCAAAGACCGAGGTATTGTGAGGAGGCATGTTAAAATTAGCATTAAATCTAAGAGCTCTGGTAACAAAACTACCTCGGTGAACTAATTTGCTAGCGAGGTAAGCTGGTCTGTTAGATAGTAGAACTTTATGCGTGAAGACGGTCAAAACATATAAAAATAACTTATCAATTCGCAACCAGTTGAGTTCTTTGATTTTATCTGAGACGCGAATAAACTTGCGCAATCCAAAAATAAACCTACAACAGTTGTTTTGAATTTTCTGGAGTTTCCTTTTGTGGACGTAGTCTAAACATGGGTAATACAGAACAAGAGAATAAGAAATGACAGACAACACAAGACTTTCAGCGAGCTTTTTTCGGGTTTTAAAATTCAAGATGTATCGATTAGAATAGAAGAGTTTCAAACGCAAATACGTTACTCTAGATAAGAAAGAGACATGCCGATCGAATCTCATATTTAAATCAAGGGTAACACCGAGATTCTTGGCGTAATCCACAAAAGGGATGAGTGTCTCATCCAAAAAACACAAATCCTCTGCTTCATTTCACGGTAGGAGTTCTTCGAACAGTACAACATTGCAGTAGTTTTATTGGGATTGATCTTCAAGCAGTGTTTGTTATAGTAATCACCGATGTTAGCCAAATCTAAATTAACTTTAAAAGAAACTTCATCAACCTTTGATGGATCGAAACCAAACACTAACTGAGTATCATCTGCATAAGTTTGCATACTACAGTGGACTAAACAGTCTTGCAGATCGATCGTATAAATCAGATATAGTAAGGGACCTAATACTGAGCCCTGAGGAACTTCTGAAGGAACTGGCTCAGAGGAGGAAATTCCCTGATCAGTTTTCACTGTTTGTTGACGATTTGGCAAGTATGACTCAAAGAACCTTAGAACTATATCTGACATTCCATAATGAGATAACTTACTCAGTAGTATTTGGTGATTGACCATATCAAAGGCTTTCGAGAAATCTAACAGTACCAAGACGGTGTTGATGTGATTGTCTAAATTGTGAATGATGGAATCAGTAAGATGTAATAAAGACGGAGTAGTGCTGTAACCAGCTCTGAAACCTGACTGCTGTAGAGGAAATAAGTGATTTTGTTCGAAAAACTCCACTAGTTGTGAGTAGTCAGCTCTTTCGAGTATTTTTGAGAGAAAGCATAATAAGGTAATTGGCCTGAGATCCGAATATTGTTCTGGATTATTAGTTTTAGCTATTGGAATAATAATACCATTTTTCCAACTGGCAGGAAAGTAACCTGGATGTTGAGGACTAGGAGATTGGGAGAGATATTCTTGGACACCGAGATCCTTTCATAATTTCAGATCGAAAATTTGTACAGATGTTTAGGTTGACCAAAGATTTTGCGTATGAATTGCTGGAGATATTAACTTCATTCATACAACCACCCCCACGAGCTTCTGCACTTTCGATCAAAACAATGGCAAGGGTAGATATTAAGTTTTGGTCATAATAAAACAGTATCCTTTAATCCATGATTGAATTTTCCCTAGTGCATTTGGGCGTGCCCTCGGAGAAAGTCAATCGTTTTGTCCTTTTGTTCATTTGTAATGTGCTTTTTTTTGGCTCCATACATAAAATTATGAGGAAATCTTGACCAAAATCTTTGGTTAGTTTTTGACTGTCAAAATGATCTCCATTTTGATTGGTTTAACACGTTTAATCAAACCTGGCAAGCCTTTCCTTACTCCTTTTTATCGAGTGCTTTAAAGAATACAGCATTCCCGAATTGATAGAAAACCGGTGGAGTAGAAAAAGAGAGGTAGTGTGATTTTCTATTAAGGTCAAGAATAGGAGCACAGGTCTGTCTGTCTGTCGACTATTAGCTATGTCTACACTGTACCTTTTCATCGTCAACTTTCGTCTTCATCTTTCTATTTGACTTTCGTTTAACGCTTACTTGGTGGAATATGTGCAGTAAAAAAAGAACCAAGAGAAAGTTTTGGATACGAGGTTATTATAATAATCGAAGTAACGTGATTATGAGTGAACTAAGAGAAGATAAAGATATTCTTTTTAAAAATTTTACACGCATGTCCGAAAAAAAATTTGATCGACTTTTGAAATTGGTTAAACCAAAAATTACAAAGCAGTCAACCCAGTTACGTGAAGCTATACCTAGTGAAATAAAGTTAGCAATAACGCTAAGGTTTTTAGCTACTGGAGACAGTTTAATGTCCCTTTCGTTTTTATTCAAAGTATCCAAACAATTCATATCAGCAATGCTACCAGATGTATTAAAAGCCATAATTGAAGTACTTAAGGATTATATTAAGGTAAGTAACAGTTTCATTTATTAAAAAACACAACCATAATCATTTTTTAAATAGAACAAATTCAGAAATATTGCTAATATCTATAATGTTTGAATCAGCCTGTGTCTCCGGTATCTCCGTAAAAATTATGTATCTCAGTCATATTCCGCATATCAGTAACATTAGGTATCTCAGTCATAGTCTGTATCTCAGTCGCATTCCTCATCTCGGTAACATTATGCGTTGCTGCTGCACCAGTTATCTGTTGCATTTCCAGATTAAAGAGTATATTGTTTATGCGTTGTTGAGCTATAAGCCGATTAAATGTATTAAGGTTTCGAATTTTATGAGCTATCAATTGTCCATAAGTAGTGAACTCATCTTTTTGACTTAATTCTTCACTAGCTTTTTTCATAAAATTGTAAGCTTCCGCCTCTTTATCGTCAATCGTTGTACTTTTAATATTTCTCTTCTTTCTTATTGGTGGTAGGGTAAATTCATGCTCGTCTTCAGATATACACGTAGACTGCGAAGTCGCAGAGTTTTCTCTATTTAATATTTCAGCCGGCGTGTCCTGCAAAAAATATAAATCGTACTGAAATCCTTTTTTTTTGTTTGTTTTTGCAGTCACCAACAAACGAGGAGCAATGGAAAGCGATTGCGAATGATTTTGACAAGCGATGGAACTTTCCACATTGTATTGGCACCATGTATGGAAAACATGTGGTCATCCAAAGACCAGAAAATACAGTGGGCGAATTTCATAACTACAAAGGAACACATAGCATAGTATTGTTTGCAATTGTAGATGCAAACTATTGTTTTACATATGTTAATGTTGGTTGTCAGGGTCGTATTTCGGACGATGGTGTTTTCAAATCCACTTCATTTTATAAGCAAATTGAAAAACACGAATTCAATTTACCAAATAGTGAACCACTACGTGGTAGAACCATGTCAGTACCTTACGTATTAGTTGCTGATGATGCGTTTGCACTAAGTACCTATACTCTGAAACCATATTCAACCGATTTAAATGTGGGGTCACCAAAAAGAGTGTATAATTATAGGTTATCAAGGGCAAGACGTATCGTTGAAAATGCGTTTGGGCTTCTCGCATCTGTATTCAGAATATTCCGTAAGCCCATTTAATTAAAAGTCGACAGTACTGTAATTGACGTTGTTTTGAGTTGTGTTTACATACACAATTTTCTACGAATGCAGACAGATTCTACACGGGATTACTGCCCTCCAGGTTGATTTGATAATGAGGATGTAAGCACTGGAGAAATCATTCCCGGGTCATGGAGAGTAATAACTGCCGATGAAAGCGGTTATAGGCCACTTCAAAGAATTCCTCGTGGGTCATCAAATACATCGAACCAAATACGAGATGAATTTATGAATTATTTCATGTCAGATATTGGAGCAATACAGTTTCAAACCCGACACTTATAACTATATACCTATCACATTTATTTTGTGGAAAAAGTAATAAATTGATTTGCCTAAATAAATATGCATTTTAAAATACCTTTTCATCCTCAGTACTACTTTCTCTAGTTTCCTGCGGCGTCACCGAGTCAGCAGTGAATAAGAGTTGTTTGTAAGCAAACCACGGTGAAACATAAATCTCATCGGATCCAGCACCGCTCTTTTTCCTGATGACTTTTTAATGCTCTTTGGAAAAATACGAGCGAAGACTTTTTATCTTTTTTTAACTCCATCGATATCCATTTTATATTTAGTAGCCAGAACTTGCAAACAATCGTTTCTCTTGGAAAGCTTCTGTAATCTTCAATAAACTTTAATGTTAAATCTTTTTCTTCGTCCGCCATCTTGTTGTTGAACGCTATAAGGCACAGACATCCACCCGACGCCGGAAAACGTGTATCACAGCGCGCGCTTCGCTTTCAGCTGCCATCGCGCTTGCGTTAAAGGCATGCCTCACGTGCGCTGTTGACTGCGCTATAGCGCATGCCCTTATTGAACAAAAAAGGCACAGTGTGGACATAGCTATTCGGTAACATTTGACACTAGGCCGAAGACGGAAAAGCTTTGAGGTTTTTGAAAAGTGATCCAGAAGCGTCGGAGTATGGGCAAGAAAAGATAATAATAAAAACCACTTAAGCATCGTTTTTCGGTGTTTCAGAAGGTTCGGATCATTTTTCTGAATTAATTTTGTAGGGGATAAAAACCTAATTTTTATTTATAGTATATACGTATTTATACGGTCCCAGCAGATATGTCTACCCACCTATTAGACGTATGTCACACACGCATCTTTTGATATATCTACTTCGATGTCTGACCCCATGTGTAGCCAGCAAGTTTCGAAATTAGTCACAGCAAGTTTCTAGACCGCAGGCTGGCTTCATCCTTTTAATTTGCTTGTTATACCTGTTCCAGGGCCTGTTCCAGGGCCTGTTCCTGACATAATCTGGTTACAGCCTTGCTCAGGTAGTGTAGAGTCAACCTACTTGAAGCCGTTTTTTTTTCGTCTTGAAGCTTCAAACAAGGATTAAAGTTCCAAAGCAGTAAGCAGTAATGAAAATTTTTTTATACTCCAGCTACCACGAAGGCCTAAGCCTAAACACCCATTTGTAGACAATTTAATAGAAGAAGTCAGCAAAACGTCGCATTTTACATTTATGGTTCACTGAATTAATTCACACTGATGTGTGGCACTAGCGTTGCTATAGAAACTTGTATTTTTCTGAAAAAATAGCAGCAGCGTTCTAGATGAGTGTGTACCTAGTGAACAAGATAAATACCAGTTAATTACTATAAAATGCGATCCTCGCCGGCAAAGCTCATCCGGTATTTACAAGCAGCTACATAAGGAAGCTCTGGAACAGTATATACGATACCACACAGCAACGAGACTCCCTCAAAATCACTCTATCACTCTCAAGTAGGTCGAAAGCTGCGTTGAGAAATTTGTTGGATGACCCTTAACATGAAGAGATTACCAGGCGATATCCGGATGCTAATATGTTTGAACAAATTGCAATCTCTTTGCTTCGAGCAAAGTTTTTTTTAGATTTTGGAGTCATTCTGAACAGAAAAGGTACTTGGCACCTTTTCTGTAAAATTGATCATTTCCGGGTTATGAGCGAGATTAAGAGCCTCTGAAAATGGCCATACGCGATGTTTCGCCATCTGGTCAGATATTTATTCCCCTATCGACGAGTCGAGAAATATTCCAGCATTTTCGGGATTTCCATGGAAGTAGTCTAGATGACAGCAGGTGACTCTAGACGAATCTCGACCACATTTTAATTTTGGTCTAACCTTTTTCGGATAGCGGCTCAAGCGGTCACACACGGCATGACACATGACGTAACCTAACCTCTTTCTCCTCTATCCCCCGATACTCCTACGGTACTTACGGGAAGTACGTGTAAGGAATATGTCGTCGAGGATTGCATTGCTGTGTACTATTGTATACGCTGTGGCTTTGGGCAACTTCAAATACCAACGGAAGCAGTGTTTGCTTGCTCGAAAGCAGATCAGGCAGTGTTAGAATGTTCTAGGAAAAGTTTTGACAGTGTTGAGTGTGCTATTGAAAATTCAATATTTGCTTTAAGCGGTGAAGGTTCCTTTAGTCCTGGACGCATATGAAATAATATCCAGAATGTTTTATACTTACAATCTAAACAACTGAAATCGTATTTTAGTGCTTTGAAGCCCAAGCCGAAATCGCTCTGAATGTATTTTACAACAAAAATATATTCTTCAGCTCAATAACAAAAAGTTTCTTATCTACAGATACTTAAAAAGTTGCCAGGTAACTTCTTTTTAAACCATGAAAGAAGAGAAAGTATACTAAGTGACATATAAATCCGAACACCCAGTTTAAATGGTTTTATTTTAATAAAACTTTGTATAAGTACTTAATGAAGCATAATAAGTAGATGATAAAAATTTCAAAATGATTGCACTGCTTTAAAGCCCTTTGACCTTTAATAATGTGTGGATGCACCCTGATGTGCCACGCATCCTCCAACGCGCCTAGGCGTGCTTCTGATCAGGTGGTCAATGTCCTCCTGTGGTATCTCATTCCAGGCAACCACCAACTCCTCTCGAAGTGCTTCTGGAGTCTGAGGAGGACGTTGCAGATTGAGCAATCTCCTACCCATCATATCCCACACGTGATCAATTGGGGATAAGTCGGGAGATCTTGGTGGCCATGGTAACAATGTGACATCATTATGTTGAAAGAAGTCTATTGTGACTCTTGCAACATGTGGTTGGGCATTATCTTGTTGAAAAGTTGGATCTGCCAGGGTGTCAAGATAGGGTAAAAGACGGGGTTCTAGAACTTCGTGGATATAACGCTGCGCGTTCATGTTACCTCTGATGAAGATTAAAGGTGACCTGGAACCATAAGCTATAGCACCCCAAGCCATACCCTGGCACGACCATCGTGCATGCCTAAACAAAATCGAGACTCGTCACTAAAGACAATACTGTTCCATTCCTGATCCCAGAGTGACCGTTATCTGCACCACTCACACGATTACGTCGGTGTAAGTGTTAGAAGGCGACGTGGTGAAAGGAGGAATCCACAGTTTTTTGTTGAAAGACATGTTCATCACACTGTTGGAGTTATGGTTTGGGGTGCTATAGCTTATGGTTCCAGTTCACCTTTAATCTTCATCAGAGGTAACATGAACGCGCAGCGTTATATCCACGTAGTTCTAGAACCCCATCTTTTACCCTATCGTGACACCCTGGCAGATCCAACTTTCCAACAAGATAATGCCCGACCACATGTTGCAAGAGTCACAATAGACTTCTTTCAACATAATGATGTCACATTGTTACCATGGCCACCAAGATCTCCCGACTTATCACCAATTGAGCACGTGTGGGATATGATGAGGATACATCGACACATTATTAAAGGTTACAGGGCTTTAAAGCAGTGCAATCATTTTGAAATTTTTATCATTTACTTATTATGCTTCATTAAGTACTTATACAAAATTTTATTAAAATAAAACCATTTAAACTGGGTGTTCGGATTTATATGTCACTTAGTATATCTTCTTATGTATTCAAAAGCTACGAAGCATTGGTAAATCTGCTTCACAGGAAACTGGTAAAGCATGAAAGTATTTACAAAATGAGACCTTACTGGTTCAACTTGCCGTAGTGGTTAATTTTTTATGACCAAAACTTCCCGATAGACAAATTATTTTTCACCAAAAATGTACACAACAGAAAATATGAGATAATACCAAAAACTGAAATTCTTTGTGATGGATGACATCAAAAAACAAGTTATCAAAGATGCTTAATATTTTCTAGATATTTTTAATTGCTCATAAATTTTTTGAGGTTATTTTTTCATTTTCTAAAGGGTTGTTTATCCTTTACAACTCTTATGTGGACTACTTAGATCAATACACGTTAGATTTTTTACCAAATTCTACGTTCAATTGTTTTTGTATCTCTAAGCAGGCTACATTTTCATTTACCCTTCATAATTTCAATTACCTTTTATAATACAATGCTGTTGTAATATCCGTCTGCACTTTTTTAGCACAGTCTTTGTTTCTTATCTAGCAAGCCTAACCTTTAAAACGGTTAGATTGTGTGAAAAAAAGTAAGTAGATAGAACTGTATTGTACTGTAGATCATTTGACATGGTATAAAACTTGTCATCATCTAAGAAGAAGTAATATCTGCGTGATAGCAAATATAGAGCGAAAAGAAAATATATCCATAAAATCCAGTCGGTAGTAACGATAACAGTTAGTCATGAAACAATACACTACAAAAAAAAAGCAAGATATTTGAACACAATATTCTAAAAGTCATTCGATAGAAAACAGGGAGAAGCTTATATGGTATACGTATACATATACAGTGGTTTGATCTTTCACAGAGAAGAAATTTGTCTATCGAGGGAAGAGTATTTACATATTTGCAAATACAAACTATGAAATTCGTAGTATCAGTATACATTGTGATCAAGAGGACATAGCTAAAACGAGGGTGATTATAAAAGTATAATAAACACCGCATGAGGAGGACAGATTTAAAAAAGAGCACAGTACAAGATCGGAATATGTAGTTAGCATAAATGGAGGTGGATCTTTCAATAATGTTACCGGTAGATGGCTTGTGGTGGTGTAGTACAG